GCACCGGCATCATCCTTAGATGGGCCGCCAGTACGGCCAAAATTTTTGTGAAAACCCTCGGGGCTGAAGAGAGTCCAAAGGGGAGGGCCCTGTACTGGTAATGTCAGTGCGTGTAACAGAACCGCAGAAACCTGCGGTGCTCTGGAAGAATCGGAATGTGAAGGTATGCCTCTGTCAGATCGATGGACGAAAGGAAGTCCCCCTTCCTGATGCTGGCCAAGATGGACTTTAGGGTCTGCATCTTGAATCTTCTGTAGGTTAAGAAATAATTTAGACCTTTTAAGTCCAATATCGCCCTCCATCCTCCTGAGGCCTTGGGAACTACGAATAGGATGGAGAAGAACCTCTCTCCTATCTGATCCTGTGGTACCAGTTCTATGGCCCTGATTTCTAGCAAGTGGGTGATGGCTGTGGTGACTAATTGTGCTTTTGTCGTGTTTCTTGAAACCGGACACTGTATGAAACGATCTGGGGGAAAAGATTGAAACTCTAGAGTGAGACTCTGTCTTATGGTTTCTCTGACCCAAGAGTCGGTGGTGGTGCCCTCCCAGATGTCGTAAAACAGTGTCAGGCGACCCCCTATGGGGTAGTCCTCCTTGGCGTCACTTGGACCGCTTGTATGGATGACTGCCCGATCCCCTGAAGGGACGTTTGGCTTGGAACTGACCCCTGGCTCCGCTATTCTGGCGGTCCTGTTGACGATCCTGCCTGGGGGGATAGGATCGTGAGCCTCTGGGCCAATTCCAGTACTACCCTGCCCGAAAGGGCTGCCTCCACTCCCAGGGCCCAGTGGGATGGAATGCCTGTCTGCGATATTCCTGCTGAGGCCGCCTATCCAATTTTTTAGAGGGGTGCGCCAGGACCTTATGCTTGTCCTTGCCCTCAATGACATGTGGTTCCACTATACTTGGATGTTGACAGGTGCCACTTTGACTTTAAGTCAGTCCGCCACTGTTTCAGCCACAGCATCCTACGAGAGGCAACTGTGGCAGCAATAGATCTGGCAGAGCACCTGGCTGAATGAAGAGATGCGTCAGCAATGTACTCTGAGGCTGCCACTAGCTTCTCCAGTGTCTGGTGTGCCCTAACCTGGTCTGGAGGAATGATCGCCTGAAGATCTGGAGCCACGTTATTGATGATCTTGCAAAGAAAGAGGATGAGGTTGCCGCCTTGATCGCCCATGCCGAAGACTGGTAAGCTCTACGAAGGGAGAACTTGAACTTTTTGTCCTCCGCTTTCAGGAACTCAGCCATATCCCCTGGAATAGCAGTGGTGGAAAACAAAGAAGTTAAAGGAGCATCCATGGTCGGCACCTCTAAGAGAGAAGCAAAGGAAGAAGAGACATTATAGAGTTTCTTTTCCATACTGCTGGGAGAAGGTGTGGTGGCCAGGGATGACCACTGTTTCTCTATCGTAGTACGAAAAACGAGCGGACAGGGAATCTGTTTCTCCTCTACGACCTGCTCAGTTTCCCCCTGAGGAAACCATGCCCGCGGGGCATCCTGTGAAGAGGCAAAAGGTAGCTCAAACGTGAGAGTGTGCAATGAGACGGGGGAAACCACTTCAGTCTCACTTGACCTGAGCCTTTGTGCTTTGGACAATTCCCTCTCCAGCACCTGATGTCTCCTCGAGGCCTCTTGCTCGGCTGCTTTAGAAGTCTCTTTGATGGATAAGTGTTTTGTTTTGGCTTTTTTCTTCCCCTCCACTTCCAATTCATCTGATCTGCGTTTTGTTTGTGCGGGGGGGGGGGGACACCAGAACCGTGAAGTGCCTGGGGCAAGGAACTGTCTGCCATTGCAGTCTAGATAATCCTGGTCAGGGATATCTAGAAGTGGGGGGAACCCAAGCACGCAGATCAATTAGTCAGAGATGGAAAACCGATCCTCGCTCTGAACAATGGCAATGGCAAGAACAGTCAGACAGCTTTCTAACACTGCCTGTCTAGGCCTTGTGGCTAAAGGCCACTAACTGTTTGAAACAGGTGGTCAGAAAGATTCCCTCTTCACTCCATTTACACAGGTCTTGCAAATTTGATCCTGTTCCTCAATAAGTAGTTAACACAATGATACACATAAGATGAGGCAAACCCCATGAATTTGGGATAACACCCTGGAATCTTACCACACTTGCTGTGGGTGATATGAGAAATTATAATCCCCCCGGTGCGGGCCTGACTCGCAGATCAAGGCACTAAGGCAAGATTAGAGTTCGCTATGCAGAACAATAGATCCCAACAATATGGTGTCCGCCTTGTGGGCCTCTCAAAATGGCGGCTATGACCATGCGGTCAAAATGGCGGCTGCGCTCCTTTCTGAGCCTCCCAAGAAGCGAAGAGCAAGTTTTAGCAAAACAAGGGGCAGAGAAATACAAGGCACAAATACAGAGGCAGCAAGTAAATGGTTAAACAGGACGATCCCTGTTTCCCCCATTTGCAAATATCACTTGCAGTTTGTTGCGCAGCCTCCGCTGCGATCCGGTTGTGGCTGCAGGGAAAAGCCTCGTGGCTTTGACACTCGGAATGTAAGAAAACACCAGCAGCCACCCCCAAAAAGCTTTCCAGCTGATTGGCAGAATCGCGGCGATCTTGAATCGGTCAGGATGGGAGGCCCCACCCAATCGAGGCCTGCAGCCTCCAACCCCCGAGCCCAAAAAAAGGCTCTAAAACGTTGAAAAGGACAGAGTCCTTGCCAAAATCCTTTCAATTAAGCCAAATCTGAAGCAATTTAGGAATTTAGAAATTGAAAAATCCAATCAAGTCTTAATAAATGTAGTCTAGCTATGGAGCCTAAAATTTTGCACCCTACTGAGCTAAGACTAAGACAAAAACTGGGAAGACACACCCAGAGGGAGGCGTGGCTAAAGCTCTGTCTTAGTCTCACTGAGCAGGAAGGCTGAAATTACCCACCGGTGGATTCTACATCCATCCTGCTGGAGAATAAAGAGTTTTCACAGTATCTTCTGTCTGCTAGTTGCTGTTCATGGATGTATTCTGTAATCCTCTGTCCTACATAGTAGCTGTTACAGTATTTACACCATATGTTGTAGATCAGAGGTCCCAAACCTTTTGGGCACCAGGGACTGGTTCTGTGGAGAGAGATTTTTCCATGGACTGAAGAGTGTGTGGTTTTGTGTACTGCCTGCATCCCACAGATGCTTGTTTGTGCGAACTGGTTGCTGGCATGCCGCCGCCTGGTACCAGTCCACGGACTGGGGTTGGAGACCCCTATTATAGATGAGTCCTGTTTTCTTCTTCTTCTTGGGCTACTTGGTCCTTTAATTTACTTAAGATGTTTTGGAGGACTTAAGTTGGTTTGTGTGCTATGGTGATGTTATGATTGTTGTTGCTTGAGGTGTTTTTGATGTACATCAATAGACACATAAATACCTTTACAAATTACGCACCCCACACTCATTAGCACTGATAATGTTACCTAACTGGTAATAAAATGTCTGCAAGCAAATAACCATGTTCAGAAAGCATCAAGCACTCTGAGCTACACATATTCTTTTCAGTTGATAATTTTGTGGGCAAATACATATAGGAAGTCCTTAATTTACAACTGGTTGCTTAACAGCCATTTGCATTTACAGTGACCATGGACTGTGACCATTGCACTATAATTTAACTACAGTGCACTGAATAAATCACATTCAACTGCAGTTGTTTAATAATCTTAAAATTATGGTTCTTTTAGGAAGTTGTTTTAATCCTCCTTCACTCCCTCATCCCACAAAGTTATTCAGTTTTACTACTTGAATCCAGGTTGGATTCAAGTCACATTGTACTACTCTTGGAGGAGGAAAAAAGTCAATACCTTTAATTGGTGATCAACTGTGTCTAGGAAATCTAATACTTTGAACTGCATTATGGAATATTTAGCTGGAAGACTCATTCAAACCCTAGCCAAGCTTGCTAACATAAATTACAGCTCACTTATCCAATTCAGAAGGTTCCCCTGAGGATAACCCCACACTATGCACCCTTGCAAACTGCCAATTACAAGTGTTGGCTATCATCCAATGACCCAGGAGTATATGAGTTACAACCCAACTATGTATGTCACAGTTTCTATATATAAGTATAATAAGTGTTTACTGATAGGTATCTTTAGCTGTAGGGCAGAAAAGACATCAGAAACAAGGTGTGATCCTCTGAATAACAGGAGAAATATGACTTTTTTTTCAAATCATACATCTAATTTTGTAATCAATGACAGCCAGCAGATTCATTTTTTCTTCACCTTTTCTTTGTTTGCCGAGCCAGCTACAAACTTCCAGATTAGCTACTAATTTTTTCTAGAAATTCCTCTATGATTTTTCTCACAAGAGAGGAGTCACCTGCTATAAACCAAGTGGCACCCAACCTAGAATTTTTTTTTTAAAAAAAGATTGCATTAGTTTTCACCTGCAACTGCCTACACTATTATGCAGTGATTGTGCATCTTATTAATCAAGAGAGAAAAAGTCACTGCCCCATAATAATCCAAAATGAAATTCAAGATGCTTTTTCCCCAAAATAAGATTTAACACAAAACGTACAGATTAGATGTCTCACTGCCTACTGTGGCAAATCTCCAGCTTGAATCCTGTTACCTTGAACCTGGGAAATTCAGCTAAATGTAAATATTGATCAAACTGTAGGTCTCTTTCATCCAGCAATTCATCTCCTAAATAAACAGTCCAGAAGTTATAACAGAACCTGATTTATTCCTCAACGCTCTGAATTTTAGATGTATATTGTCCCTAAATGTGAGAGGTTCTCTTAACTTCCCTTCATTAACTGGCTTAATCTTGAATTTTCTCATTCATGATCCTTTGGAAGAAGAGCTAACAAATGACAATGATGCCAAATCACATAGGCCGCCTTCCAGGCTACTCTTCTAAAATAAGCCCTATTTTTCCCCACCCCCATGGCAGTGAAGTAGGCTCCGCCTCTTGTCCTCCCCCTCCGCGGGGCAAAAACTCCTTTCCAGGGACAGAAGAAGTGGCGGAGGGCTTACCTGCGCGTCCCCTCGTCCTCTTCGCTCAACATCAGCGGTTCCTCGGAATGCGAAGCCAGCGCTGGGGGAGCCGCGGGCGCCATAATCACGTCGCAATCTCCGCCCGCCGCCGCCATCTTGGTTCCTTGTTGCTGCAATCAACGGCCGGCGAGCCGGAGAGAGAACGAGAGAAAATAAAAAGGAACGAGGCGGAAGTTCCTCCTTCCATATCCGGAGACAAAAGAATCATGGGTAGATGGGTCACTTCCGGTTCGGAGGAGAAAGAGGCGGGGACTCGGTAGAGTCCTCCAAGATTTTTTTTTTTTTTTTGTCCCGGGACTGGAGAAACAGGAGTTGGAAGTAATCATTTATTTTCGGACTGAAATATGCAGAAAAAATCTGGAAGTCGGGACCGGTCTGTTTTCAGATCTCCTTTTGATAGCATTGGGTTGCAATATTTCAGAATCTGTTTATACTTAGGAAAAAGTTATATCTGTAGATAAGCAGGTTTCTTCTGCAATAAAAATAGAAAATACGGTTTTACAGAATTTTATAAAAGTTTATTTTCTTTGGAAAGGCAACACAGCATACAGTATAAAAGAAATGCACTTACACAACAAATAAAAGCAATATTGTCTAGTGCTCTATTGCTAGGCATCTAGCAATAAAAGCAATATTTATTGTTAGATGCCTAGTAATAGAGCACTAGAAAGCACTAGGATGACAATTTCATAGTCATACGTTTTTATTCCAGGAGATTTTTTTCTTCAATTAAACGGGTCTGATTGCATGAACACGATACTAAAAACTAATCAACTATCTTTCAGCCTAATGGGTTCTGCAAAGCCAGCCTGTGTATTGGATGTATTGTTCAATGTATTATGTGAAACTCAGAAAATTGAGTTAATTCCATAAACCGTAGATCAGTTAATCAAGAACACCACGTGAACGCAGCCACTGCCTCAACTGAAGATATCCCAAGCCTTTTTCCACATCATATTTACAGTCAAAATGCCCCACATGTATTTATTCTCATGTCATTTGTACTGTAAGTGTATTTTAATTTCCCATTTTTCTGCTACCACCACTGTTGCCAAACAAAATTTGCTTTAGTGTAAATATATGAACTCAATCAGAGATAGGGAGGGAAAAGAGGTGTTGCTTTATTACTTTCAGTTCACCATTTCCGCCGTTTTGTTTAAAGATCACTAGCCCTCGTTTGACTGTATAATTTTCATAAAATTTAAAATGAAGAAGAGCCCTTTTTGGATTATAGCAAGATTGCTGAGCTAAGCTTTGTACCTCCATTCTTCTGTATTTGAACGCAGTGCGCTGCTGTTGCCTTTTCTTAAATATCTTAACTGGATCGCAAGAGGGAGTAAATCACAAAAGAGACAATGCTCTAGATGGAGCTGTGGGCTGCAGTTTCCACGTATGTCTTTTCTCTCAGTCATTCTGAGTTGTTGGTCCTCAGTTCCTTTCCTTGCTGAAGACGGCACGGAAACATCAAGAGCAGTCGGGAAGGTAAATTGCTTTGGATTGGATTTTTTTTTTAATCGAGTTTTCAGACAAATTGCAGACTTTTAGAAGCGCAATAATGATTGTGTGGGTTTGCACGCTAGTTGTCCCAGCGATTAATTTAATCTATGATAGATTTGCAAATGAGCATTTCCCCCTCTCTAAAGAGCAGCAACCAGCTATTTAATTAGAGTATTATCTGACCCACCAGAAGCTAGCAGTGCCTTGGAGATTGATAAATGATGACACTGGATTTTGAGAACTTGGTTTTTATCAGATGCCAGGCAGGCCTTGTTTGACAGACCATTAATGCACAAATAAAGGAGCAAAAGTGTCATGAAATGTAAGAGACAGCAGTTTTGCCATTTCAGTGTGATATTTCTCTGAGCAGTCTCACACTACACAAGATTAAAGGAATAATTGTTCTCAATAGTGGAAATTTGTAACAGTGCTGCCTAATTTATTCCTCTATGTTTCTAGTGTGGATAAATCCTGGCTAATTTGTAGTAAATATGAACAGACTAAAATTTATTGTTTTTATATTTAAATACATTTAAATATATACTGTACATTTGTGTACATAGAAAATAAGAGTTACTTTACAGGGGAGATGGATAGCATAAAAAATTAATAGGTAAAATGTGGCACAGAAGCAATACCAACTGGTAAACATAGCTTTCACTTTTCCCCTCTAAAAAGCAAGAACATTACTTGGAGATACTATGGCTTTCCATTGTAGAATTTTGGTTGTCAGAGACATAAAAATATTCCAATAAAAGAGAATATTTGTAGCTCAGAGTTGAAATGAGGGGAGCCTTGGTGCTCTCTGAACTTGTTTTCTTGCTAGCCCTGATGATGTTATCAGGTTTGGGTAATGAAACAATGCAAGAAAACAACCAAGCTCAGAGTTATCATAAAAATATTCAGAGTAAGCAGATAATACAGGATACATATTCAGACTGATGATTAGATAGGATACTGCATTCTCAGAAGAAACCCTTTATGAATGAAGGCAAATATAAGTGACTTAGGATAATGTTGCAGGATCCAATCTGGGTTGGTCTGGTCCTGGTGACCCACCCAGATTGAATCCTGAAACCCTTTATCACTGCTTCATTCACTTTTTAAACTTTTTTTTTTGGTTTACAGTTTTAATGTTAGCTGTAGATTAAAAGAAAAGAAATGTATATTGGAAGCTGCTTACATGTTATTTTTATTCTTCAACATTCTTTTCTTTGGCCAACCTTTCTGACAAACAGTTTTTCTAACACTAATATAATATTGTAAAAAGCAGCCTCTTTCTAGATATGCCTAGTTGGTTTAAAAATTACTTAGGAAAACTGAATGAACTTGCTTTTGGCCCAAAATGATAAACACAAGAAAACAAAAGGAAATTATCATCCTACCCATCCTACTCATCCCTAAAATTACTCAATGGTGCTGCTACTGCTAGTAAGTCTCAGTTGCTTTTCTGTTCTCTCCTCATTAATGTGGGGTGATTAAAAGGGAAATATGTTAGTGTCTCCTCCAGGGTAATCATGATTATGTCAAGAAAAAACTAAAGGGGTACGAAGGGTTCTCTCTGAAACTCTAAAAGCATCAGCAAACCCTGTTTGATTCAAGCACTAATTGGAATTCAGCGACACCAAGCATGCAGTGTAGAGAAACAAAATCTAGGGATCAGAAGAGTAAAATTAGAGTAAGAAACAGAGGTAGCCTTGATTCTGAGATAGCCTTGATTCTATCTCCTAGAATGTATGGGATTTACTTGCTTTTGACTGGAAACCCAAGCCAAGGACTTATTGTATAGTTTGCATGATACACCATATTAACTCTAATTCTTTTCACATATTTTTTTAGAATAATCATATTTTCCCTTTATCTTAATTGTGACTCTTGTGTTTATTTGCTGGTCTATGAGTGAATAAAAAATTATTTGATTTGACTGGAAAGCAAAATCCACCAAATAAAGCCAGATCCAAAACTAAGGCAAATTATTACTGCAGACTGTAAGACAAATGAGTATATTCAAATACACGAGTTAGTACAGATCACAAAGTCTTATGCAGAGAATCACTGTGGAGAAAAGAACTACACCAAGATCTGAGCAAATTCATTAATGTTCCTATATTGTCAGAGAGAAACCTTGAGATCAAAATAAATGTGAATAGCACAAAGCCAACCATGGCAGGGAAAAAAAGTCAATTCTATTTGCAAATATTAAATTATTGGACCTTAAGAAACATTTTCTAATTCTTGCAAATAACAGGGCTATTAACTATTCATCTTAGTTCTGCTTGACTTTGCCCAGGCATTTGCCATTATAAAGCCCCATGAATTTCTGCTCAGGTCTTTTACCTGTCAACCAGCACCTAAGATTGGGACAGTCTGGTTATTATGTAGGACTCCCTCTCTGAACAGCCAAAGCCAGCCTTGAGCAATAGTAGTGTTTGCATATGTACCTTCATTTCAATATGTTTTCACCACTCATTTTTAGTATATCCTTCTTGAAATTTTCCTCTTTGTATCTTCCAGATAATGGGGAAGAGTTGCAAAGTGGTAGTATGTGGGCAAGCATCAGTTGGGAAGACTTCGATCCTGGAACAGCTTTTATATGGGAATCATATTGTTGGTGAGTGTTGGAATTAAATGGGAAATCTTTTTTTTTTTTTTTTTTATTGAAATTTTTCAAAAGTTTTACAAATAAAAATCCACCCCCCCCTCCCCAACCACCCCACCCCCCCCCGACTTCCCAGAACTGAATATAGGATTATTTAACAAATATTTTAAAAATAACATTTGCAATTTATAAAATAATTAATAATAATAATAAAAATCACAGTAATAATATATATAATAATAATATACATAACATAAACTTTAAAATGAATAATATATACTAAAAAAGAAAAAAAAATAAAAAAAGAAAGAGAGAGAGAGAAAGAAGAAAGAAGAAAGTAGACGAAGAATAAAGCATATATATATATAAAAAAAAAATATATGAATAATAATACATAAAAAATGTATATATATAAAAAAGAAAAAGAAGAAAGAAAGAAAGAAAAAACAATCATTACAAATTATAAAAAGGCTAGATAATATTTTTCCATATCCAAATTATGTTGTATAAAATTTATCCATTTTTCCCATACCGCAAAAAATTTTTCTTGAGATTGCTCCTTTAAGAAAGCCGAAATCTTTGCCATTTCTGCCAAATACGAAACTTTATGAAACCATTCTTGTAAAGTAGGCAAAGATTCCTTCTTCCAATATTGTCCTATTAACAACCTAGCGGCTGTAATCAAATTTAACATCAATATAACCTCCTTAGCATCACAGTCAATAACAATACCTAGTAAAAATAATTGCGGAGTAAATTTTACCCTCCTTTTAAAAATTCTTTGAATATTCCACCATATCTTAATCCAAAAAGCTTTTATATGCTTACACGTCCACCAAATATGGTAATAGGTAGCATCCAAATATCCACATCTCCAGCATTTCGGCTGTAGATTAGGGTACATAATGGACATTTTCTTTGGGTCAAGGTGCCATCTATAAAACATCTTATAAAAATTCTCTCTTAAATTTTGCGCTTGTGTGAATTTAACATTTCTTATCCAAATAAGTTCCCAAGTATCCATTGAAATCGTTTCACCAATATTCTGTGCCCATTTAATCATACAATCTTTAACTAGTTCAAG